CCAGCATGAGCCTGAATCCTGTACCCATAAGATGCTGTAATATACCATAATATTCTCACAATATACTAGAATATACCATAATATACATATAATACTATAATATACCATAATCTACGCATAATATACCATAAGATACCCAGAATATTCCCATAATGTACCCATAACATACTAGAAGATACCATAATATACCATGCCATCGATGTACTACAATATATAAGAATATAGCCAGATGTACTATAATATATCAGAATATAGCCATAATGTACGAGAATATTCCAGAATTTATCCCATAATCTCTTGCCTGCTTGTAGACCGAGCGAGCGAACGGGATTCCGGAGAGCTTCATGGCATCGTCACTTAACTTCTTCACGGCCTGCGGACTCAGAATTCTGGGTTTCAGAGTTCAGGGTTTGAGGGGTTTAGTGTTTAGGGTTAAGGGTTCCGTTTAGGGCTTAGGGTTTAGGGTTCAGGGTTTAGGGGTAGGGAATAAGGAATATACGATGTAGGGTTTAGATAAGGACTCTATTCTAGTATTCCTTACTAAGAACCAGTAAAAATTGAGATCAACAAGCAAGGGTGCGGGACAAGGGGCTAAGGGTCAAGGGTTGAACTCGGTGCAAGCCTTCGTTGTATACTACAGGGGCTTAAAAAATCACCAAAATCATTTGAGGTCCATTTGAGGTACCATATACTATAGCTATAGAAGGAATATGGAACCATACTAGTGGTAATTATTTAGGCCCCTATATGAGCTATAGTCTAAACTCCTAGTATCCCCCTTAATAACCCCCATAATAGTCCCCTATCTAATCCTCTATATAACCCTTTTTAAGGAGTTTAGACTATGGCTCATTTGACGGTAAGGGTTCGTTCGTAAGTTCTTTCTTAAAACTGCAAGCGCGGGAATAGGGATCCTGGCTTCAGCTTTTGAGGGCCACAAGTTTAGGGTTTAGGGTTTAAGGTTTAGGGTTTAGGGTTAGTAGGGTTTAAGGTTTAGGGTTTAGGGTTTAAGGTTTAAGGTTTAGGGTTTAGAGCTGAAATGACCCAAACAAGCCCTGAACCCTAAACACTAAACACTATAGTCCCCCTTAAGTAGATAGACTATAGCTTTGGGCATCTTACAGTAAGATCTCCATATACCCCTTCTATCTACTTAAGGAGGACTATACCCCAATATATACCCGATTATAATATGGTGGTTTCCATTTTCTTTTCCATTATCCCTATATAACCCCAAAAAGTAGGGGGACTAAACTCTAAACCCTGAACCCTGAACCCTAAACCCTAAACCCTAAACCCTAAACCCTAACTACCATCCTCCGTGTTCCTTTCACCTCAAACCCTTCGAGCTTCCCGACGGCCTGCTTGGCTCCGACACAGGCCTTTTCCTGAACGATGGCCTTGGCCGTGGCCGTGGCCTGGCCGGATGTAGGACATAGGTAGAGGTTTAGGGTTTAGGGTTTAGGGTTTAGAGTTTGGGGTTTAGGGTTTAGGGTTTAGAGTTTAGGGTTTAGGGGGGGGCCCCAAGACTGCTCATAAGTTTAGGATTTAGGGTTGGGAGTAGAGTACGAGAAGGTCCTGCTATCAGCTTCAAGCACATTCAAAGTGTTTCGGTTCTGCCCTCGAGTCATGTAAGCCATGCTCAAGAGCCAGGAACCTGCATCACACCACGGCTAGTTCATCCCGGTTTAGGGTATGCCTTAGTGCTGAGAGTGAAAGCATCGCTGCTTGAATACTCTAACTCGGAGGGATGGCAGATATGTAGGGTCATGCCACATTGTCCCTAAACCCTAAAGAGTAGTTTCCATTGTACTTCCATTATCCCAATATGACACCAACATGACCGAAATATTACCCCAATATTACGCAGTATGCTCAAGCAAGCTACTGGCCACAAAGGGTCCAATACCAAATACTCGGGGCGTTTAGGCACCCGAAACACGTACAGCTGCAGACTAGATCGCAGCGTTTGGTACCTGAAGCCCAAAGTGAACCCGAAACCCTAGACCCTAAAACCCAAAAACCTAGACCCGAAAGCCCAAAATCCTGAAACCCGAAACCGTGGACACTGGGAGCTTGTGGGAATAACCTCAGAAGCAGATGCCATGTGTGGGTGTTTGCCACTTATAATTATAACATTAATTGTGATTGCTAGAGTTTGGAAACGCGGATGGGGCCTCGAAGTCCTTGCTAAAGCTTCCGATGCCCCTGACGTTCAGGCGCTTGCTCCTCAAATGCACGCAAAGTCATGCAGGGTGTATCCTTTAAGGTTTAAGGCGGGAATTTCCAAAAAAGGCGGCGGGGTGGGGGGCTTGTTCGGGGACCCTTATCGTAAGATATCTGAGGATATGGGAGGAACGAAATTCACGTCCCCTATACAAACCACCCAAAAAAACGCAATCCTCAAAGATTTGCAGCGTGTGGCTTGCGGTCCCGAATACCCGAGTTGAGGGCTATGTTCCTTGGCTTTGGGATCAAAACCTAAGGGTACACACCCTCAGCGACACAGAAAATCCTAAGGGTTCCCCCCCCCCCCACCCTTCCTGAAAAATGGCATAGGGTCGAAAATAACTAGCTATGTAATGGAGTATCAAACGGAAGAGACCATGGCCCCACCCAAAAACAGCCCTACTACCTAAACCCTAATCCTT